GAATTATGAATAGAAAATTTAGAATCTATCGTAATTGCGGCTTTCAAAATTTGCAATTCCGATTATGGATATCGATATCGATTGCTTAAATAGAATTCAGAACGGAACGAAATTACGAAAATTCGAATCTGCTTTATCCTCTTCAAAATTTTTACAACTCGACAAAACTCGTCCTCGTTTCGAGTTAAATAAAATGCACAACTCGAAGATCAACAATCATTATACAATCATTGCACGTATATACGATACGTCTTAATCACGATTTAATCATCAATAGATTAATAATCCATTCCAATAACAAATTATCTTGCAATAGGATAAACATCTTGCGATTTTTGTAAAAAACGACACGTACGATTTGGTGACGTTGCTTTTTCACTTCTTTTCCATTTCTTTTTATCTTTTTTTTTTTTAATCGGCAAGAACACTTCCATAAATCCTTCTCGATCGCTTGTTTCAATGTAAGAATGATCTAAAAGGGGGATAATTATTTAATCATTCTAAAGATGATTCATCAAATTTAATAAAATTTTTCTAAAATAAAAATTAATCTATTTAACTAAGTTATTGATGAAATTGAATTTTAACAATAATATGAATCTGGATAATCAGAATAACATACATTGATATTAATCCTAAAAAATGTTCAGATAAATTTAAAACATTTAATAAGGAACCAGTAATCAATAGGTATCCATGAATAAATCTAGAAATAATAGCAAAAACTGCTTTGCTATTAAGAGAATATAATGAAAATAACCAACAACGCAATATGTATCATGAAGAATAATATTAGTAGATGAATTTGATAGTACAATTCCTGTTTTTAAATCTAGAAATAGTGAATAATAAAATAAATCCTAATGATCGGACAAAAATATTAAAACAAAAATATTTCAATTTAATTTTGATCCATGAATAAGTTGCTAATCATTTAAAAACTTTAATTTCTATTTGTAAATAGAATAATTATTGCTGAAGCAAAATATATGTTCGTGTATCAACATCTAAACTTACAATATGTAATCAGAAGTTAAACGGATGGAAACCGGGAAAACAGTTAAAATTCGTGAAGAATTAATTCTATTCGATTAGGTCGTGAACTCGTATCATGGACTTTGTATTCGTGTAGCACGAATATGTAGCAAAGCATACAGCGCCAGCAGCAGGTTGCACGCGAAATTAGAATTTTAAATCGGGCAGACTGTTTAGCAAGAAAACATTTATGAAATTATTAGGCCGAAACGTCGCGTAACAATTATGGATTAGCGTGTAGCAACAAATAACTGGAAAACGCGTTCCAATATGGTCAATTCGACGTTTCTCGATAGATATTTTCCGATTATACTTCTATACAGATCGAGAATGTGTTATCGATTCGAGAAAGAAGCTCGATACACGTCCAACGAACACGTATCGATCGAATTATTTTCGCTTTGTAACACAAAAGAAAAGAACATTTCAAGTTCTCATTGATTGTTTCGAGCTTAAAATTTGTCGATTATCTTATTCTACTTTTTATTTTGATTATAAAAATATTATTCCCGGGGAATCCGGAAATTCGTGTATCTGATCGACTTGTTGACTGTTGTTCAACTCTCGTCTGAACAGCTTGAATTTCTGTCTAAGGAAATTTCGTGAAATGAGAGGTAACTATCATGCATGGACCTTGGGTCTTGCTAATAGTATATACTCTTGGCAAGGAAACACTGGCAGAATTACTCAAAGCACACCACGATGAGAATATATCCAACAGTATTTTACCATAGTTGCGTTAAATCAGTTGATCGTTTCCTAACTTTTTCCTAAAAAAGAAAAAAAAAACTTTTATAACAAAAAATCAAAGTTTTAATAAGGGGAAAATAAGGGGAAAAAATGACGTGATTAAATACGATTATATTTTTAAAAAAGAAGCTTGTCGAACAACGTGAAACATTTCAATTTATAAGTAGCTTAGCAAGTGTTTAATGAAATCTTTCGAAAAAAAAAAAAATTAGATTCGCGAAAGGAAAAATTATCGGTAATTAGAAGGAATTTTTTTTAAAGAATTTTTTCAAGCATAACTCAACTTTGAAAAACTACAACTGGAAAAACTACTAAAAAAGTAAAAAAAAAAAAAAAAACGATACATCGAGTCAAAAAAGTTAAAGAAAATAAAAAGGCTTGGAAATGATTGAATCGGGCGCGATTTACACATGGAAACGAGGATTCTTTTAAAGCAGCTCTCGGTGAAAGCGCTCAAAGGGCGAAAAAATGGCTAATAGCGTATAGAAAAGTAACGACGTTTTTATGCCTGCCTACGCATCACCAGTCTAATTCCTTAAAGTGATTCCTCTCGCTACGTTAAATCACTTTATCACACGTTCCTTTTCCCATAGAGCGTGAAATTCATTTTGAAACATGCTTGAAACGCGATACAAGAGTTTAAAAATCGATTTTTGCTGCCTTACGACTTGTTTTCGCGATGCTAAGTCTTAAAGATTTTCTTTCGATGTCGATGCTACTGTTCACTGCTCGAAACTGGAAAGAAGATGGCGGGAAGGCACAGGGGCAAGAGGGGTCCTTCGCTAGGACCGCCTATCCCCACTCACTCTTCCCTTTGTGACGATCCTGACACCACACGCTACATAATAGTAGAAGAGCTATAATTTGAACATTCAAAATCATAAAAATTATTTTCATTTATGAAGTTAGGAAATATTTTATATATATAATTATTAACTATTATATCTTAACTACTCGAATACAAAATTACATTTATAAATTAGCTTATGCATATTGATGAGAAATAAAAAAATTTTTATATTATATTAGATACATTAGAATTTTCTGGATTCTATGTATATTTTAATGCATTGATTTTTAACTCATTCTAGAATTATTTTAACATTATAATTAAAATTCTAAATTATGATTCTTAAGTCACACTTAGAAGGTTAGTCAAAGTTCATCATTTCAGATCTTAATCATAGAATTTTTAAATCACGGTTAAATTAATTAGAATTATTATCTTTCTTCGTTTCTCATTTCTTTTTTTGTATTATTCAATAGAAAATTCTACATATATCTCTATATGAACCCAATTATATAATTACATATAATAATAGATTAATAGAATTATTCTCTTTTATTTTTTAATTTTTAATAGAATTTCTAAATCATCTGGACCTAGTTAAGTCGATTAAAGCATTGAGATTTAGATACAGATCATTTTGAATTAGGATAATTGTGACAAATACCATGAAACAAAAAAGCTTTCAATTTAACCAATTACATTTAGATTCATATTCCTTCTGCGAGACTTCTTTTCAATAATAAACAGTACGTATATGTTTAATCGATATCGATCAATTTTGATCATAGATCGATCTATTTATCGATCATTTTAATCTTAGTTTCTTGTTGTAAGAATTGTTCGTTAAGTTTTTGTCCTCAATCAGTTTCGATCGTATATGCAAATTGTTTCAATTAAAATTTCAATTAAAACTTTTAATTGTGAAGAATCGTTCATTAAATTTTTTTTCGCCGATACCAATCGATTTTAATTACACATTTTGATCTCTTGCTACGCAATGTTTTATTTCACGCAATTATAAAGAATTGTTCATTCAAATTTGTATCTTTGTAGATTTAATCGATTTTGATTTGTACGATAGATACAATGTTAGGCTGCCTCTAGATGTGATATATCTGATCGATTAATTATATATATATATATATATGAAAATATATGAAAATATTAAATAGATAATAACTTTAATAAAATTGGTGAATTACAACAAGACTCGTTTCTATTACAACAAAGAATATTAAATCAATATATCCATTCGGTGTCAAATTTTGTGAATAGCAATATTCAAGTTTGAAGTATTCTAATTGAAAAAAATAATTGGACTTTCCAAACATTTCGTAGGATTGGTACATTTAACAATATGCAAGCAGGATCGCTTTAAACTGACTGCGCGAGGAAAATTGGATTGCCGTCAAGGGTCGTTTTTCTCGAGAAAAATAAGGGGAGCGTAGAGGTGAAACTACCCTTTAAATGCTAAGTTTATGTACCTCGTATTCGCTTTAAACACCCTCAAACCGTGATAAATTTCCCGATAAAGTTACATTTGTCACCGTGAGTTACAAAGGGATCGAATTTATCCGGTTTCGTTACGAGAATCGTGTAAGAAAAAAAAAAAAAAAAAAAAAAAAAAAAAAAAAAAAAAAAAAAGAAAGAAAAAAATAAACATTGTGTTTGCTACGAGCAAGATCTTTGCATTACGAGGTTTCCCGCTCACCATTTCCATCCACGATTACTATGCTAAATATCGCGCGAGCAACGGGAGAATATTGTTTTTCTCCCCCCTCGGTGCAAATAATCGTCTAGAGGAGCCGCGATAGAGCAAGAAACGTATGAAATGGCGCCACTATTGCACGCCAAGATTAAAATTTGAATTGCTGCAGGTGCAAGTAGTATCTCGTTTCGAAACGAATAATTGTTTTGATATCATTTTTATATTATTATATAATTATATAAAAAAAATTATATTATTATATATATTATTATATAACATAAATATAATAATATAATATTTTATCATATTTATATTATTATATAAACGATTCTATTTAATAAAAAAAAAATGTTTTACGTAAGTTGAATTACAACGAGTGAACTATTATATCTTATTATATCTATATCATTATTTAATTACAATATTAATTGCGTTTCTAAATATCTATAAATCTAAGAAAAAGTAACATTTATCATCGCTGTATCCTTGATCTCGACACAATTATATTACATAATTATAACGTCTACACTGTAATTTCTAAATCTAAAAAAAAAAAAACAAAGAGAAAAAGTTTCTTTAAATCTAGGAAATAATTAATTCCAATTTCTAACGCAAGAAATTATATTCATAACCTTGGATCGTCGCATTGGATCAACGCAATTATAATCTATTTTAAATCCAATCTTTGATCCATTATCGTCGTTAATTATCTTATCTCTAAGTGTCTTGTTCCATTCTACTATATGTCTGTAAAAAGGGCGAAAGAGGTATTATCGCATCCCCGACTATTTCTCGGAACGAAAAGAGGCGTGGGACGATCATCACGGTGAAAAGGATCGAACGATCGATCACGGGACGATTGGCAGCAGCTCTGGCGAGAGTTTTCACGATCATCTCGATAATGTTCTTCTCCTCGGTGACGTTCTCCTCCTCTTTCCACCCCGCCAACACGAGGGCAACCTCGGGGCTCTCCACGCACTCCCTCTTCTCCTCATCGTAAGTGTAACCAAATTTGCAAACGCACTCGTAACCGCCAGGCATGTTCCAACACGTCTCCCCTTCATCTACGGAACAACGGTGTTCGCCGCGGACGCACTCGTTTATGTCCACGCAAAGGCCGTATCTCGCGGACCACTCGTAACCGGGCTCGCCGCATTGGCAGC